AGCAATTGGAGCAAAACCTTCATTGTTAATCTCTCACACGGGTGCTACCATGGAGAGATTTCCTCAGACACCTCCTTTAATTGTTACTTCAGGGACTGAGTCAACTCGTACCAGTGTGACAGCCAAAATAACCATGAAGGCAAACACAACTTTAAGGGGAATGAATATGTCGGCACAGTCCATTACAGACTTTTATTCATTGGAAGCATCTAATGCAGCCACCCATTCAACATTTTCATTACCAAGTACAGTGGAGCCTTCTGATGTACTTCACAGCACAGCCAGCCCTGCTGTCCTTTCCAAACTCATCTCTTCAACAGATTTTCCAACTGCTCTTCAAGCCTCAGCAGTCACATCACGTACTGTCAGTTCTACTGCATCTATAACTTTACCCATTACAATAGCAACTCCAACAACCCTGCTCAGTGCAAGTCCTATTCCAACACGTTCTGTGTTATTAACACCCACTTCCCTAGTGGTAGTTCCATTTCCACTTGAAACATCAACCACTCAGCTAGAAACTGTTCCCCTTACCTCAGCATTAACGACTTTAACCTCCGAGCCATCTTTTGGCACTTCTGAGCTGCCTGCAGGGATTGGGAAGAGTAGGAGTCCTTCAGTAAGTCATTCTAAGGGAGCAGCAGCATCCTCTGAAGTGTCTTTGTCTGCTTTGCTGGCTGGCAGAGCAACTTTCACAAGACCTGTATTTCTTCCAGGTTCACTGTTGACACTAAGCACGTCTACTTCTCCTATACCCACTTTGTCTGTTAGAACTAGGTCTGGTGTTGGTCAAACCACAGTTCACCCAACACCCATTTCTGCACTGACTCCAACTGCTCCTCCAATTCCTATGACTACTAGGTTTGCTAGCTTTGAGACAAGTTTTCCTCAATTAATCACAGCTTCATATTTTGAATCAGCAAAACCCTTGTCTAAAACTTCTCTGACATCATTAAATGCAAGTTCTTTAGCTAGTTTTTCTCCAAAGCCATTTTTATCTTCAGTGGAAATGTCAGTGACTGTTCCCGAGCAGACATCTCCATTAATAAAAGGCAGTATTTCTGCTCCTCTACCCATAATGACTGTATGTTCACCTCAAGTTCCTTCTCAAATCCCTATAAACACTTCTTCAAGTCCTTCTGTAACACATACAGTAGCTGTACCAGTGCGTTCTCTGATTACCTCCCTGAAGCCCAAAGCTATGGTAGATGTCACTGTTGCCTCCAAAAGTCTTCATAAAGTACCTTCCACTGCTTCCACTCTTCTAGTCAATCCAACAATCTCTGATATGTCTATAACAAGTAAAGCCTCAACAGAAAATAAATACATAATGCACACTGATTCCTTTTCAGTGTCATCCATTTCTAAAAAGCCAAAGAAATCCATTACATCTACAGTGTTCCCTCTTAGGACATTGGTATTACCTCTAAATGCTACATTAATAACCACTTCAGAAATTACAGAGTACCCAAGCAGTTCACATACAGAACTGAAAACTGACCCCGTGGCACAAAATTCAGGCACTTACTTTCCTGAAGTTCCTTCTCTGACAAGGTCATCATCTTTATTTACAATCTTGTTATCAACATCAGTACCATCTTATGTGACATCTCATACTTCAGGTTCTTCATTGATTCCCATATTCAGTAGGACATCATCATTAACACAAAATATAACTGTTACGCAAACACCGGTTTCATCTCTAGATACACAAGGAACCTCAAAAAGTCCAGTTACAGACTTTGCAACTTCTTCTGTAGATTTTTCTACATTCACTTTAAACATAAGCCCTTCTACCAGCCTTTCAGCAGTGTTAAAAACATCCATTATAATGCCCTCTTTACTAATGCCTACACATCCTGAAGCCACTTTAGAAAGGCAGTCCAGTAGAGTCTCTATGTCTTCACCTTCTCCTAAGATCACTGGTATCTCTACTGTTTCTCTAGGAAAACAGAGTTCTTCAGAAGAAGATGGAACAATATCCACCATATCAGCTGGAATCGTCACTCAATCCACTACACCAATGGTCACGAACACAACAGTGAATGCTACAACCTTAAAAGCACCTTATATTTTTGCAAAAATACCACCTAGCTCTTCAGCCAGTTTATTAGTTGCTTCTGGCACTACTGTAGCCTCTAGGATTACTACAAAAACCACTGATTCCTTTGTTGCCGATTTGGAGTTTCATATGGCTTCAGCTTCAGTTCCTACTACCATAGAAACACCCATGGATGTGTCACACAAATCTTTATTTACATCTGCAGCAACTCAAGCTTCACAGAGCACTGAAGAAACTCCAAAAATGATGGTCATGAAAACAGCTGGTACTACGAGTCCATTATCACAGATGAAGAGTACCTCATTTACAGCTTCAGAAGTTAAATATGCAACCTCATTTGAAAGAACTGTGGATATTTTAGAAAGTGGTCATACTTCACATGAGCAAAGAAATGTTACCAAGACAAAGTCAACCACAACTGAGAAATCTTCCCTGCCTTATTTGACAGTATCTGCAGTTCAGAGTTCACCTTTTTCAAGAAATACAACCTCAGTAAAAAATCTCTCTCTTTCTGGACTCCCAGATGTAACAACATCAGATTGGTCCAAAATCCCAACAGAGAGAACCATTAAACCTTATTTCAGTTTAACAGAGCCCACAGAGCTGCAGAGCAGAACTATAATAGGTTTATCTCATTCTAGTGGTGGAACGGCTCTGCCTTCGTCTTCAGAGCCTCTGGAAACACAAACTTCTCCGGCAAGCACAGAAACAATGACAGCTATAGCTGACAAGGCTTCCTTTGGTACAATGATGCATACACTGATGTCTACATATTCCGAATGTGTGGTATGATCAGTTTTACTTGCCCCTATGTGTTAAAATATATATTGCTTTTCAATCCATTCTGTTATGCTATGTATGTAATACCAGAGACTTTAAATATCTCCTATTTTTGTTTTTATTTGTATATTTTAAAATACTCAATTATTCTTAGAGGATTGTTGTATCGCTGCTCTTGTACTGCCCTGATATATTCTGCAACTTGGATGTATTGCTCTGGAAAAAAATGGCTTTTAAAGCTATGTGCTGATTCTAGATAGCGAAATATATTTCAGAGGTGCAGAAAAAGCCATAATCCATGGAATTTTTGGGTTTCTGCATAATCTCACCCTGTCTTTCTTTTTTCCCATTTGTTTCTTTGTCATAGGGTTTAAAATGATAGGAAAGCATGATTCTGTATTTCTTAAAATGCTTCAGATTATTACTGAATATAACATGTAGCCTCAATGCATAATGCTTTTCATAGAGTATTCCACCAAAGCTAGATGGAACAGGAAGGATGTGGGTGAATGGATGTGCATCATTGTCACCTGTTGCAACAACACAAAAGCAATTCATTCCAAAATAACTGATGAGGGGTCACGTAGATACCCTGATTCTGTCTCAGAGCAGGGCAATAAACAAGTGATCATTTGGACTTCATAAGGGCAATGAACGTTGATTCTGGTTGTTTTTTCCTTATATGACAGCCAAGATACCTTGAACCTGTCGACAAATGTAGCCAGTATGTATGTGTTAATACGGGCTGGATGTTATACAACCTTTCAAGGAACTGCCCTAAGGATGTGCAGAAGCCAGACTGTGGTTTTCGAGGAATGCCAGTTCAAGTTAACACTGATAGTTGTTGCCCAGAATGGGAATGTCCCTGTAAGTCACTGTTTTATTTTTAAATACAACATGATCTGTAAATTTCAAGTAATAAATTAAGGGTTTATTACAGGGGGAATATAAGGTTGAATACTGGAATGAATTTAAAAGAGCTGTTCATCAGCAAAACAGAATGAAATATAGTGAATGTTTTGGTATCTTTGAATTAATGTTCAAGAGAGTCAAAATATTTTGTTCTGAATGAAAACATTGAAATGAAATCTGCAACATGAACATCAACATTTTCCAGCTGAGACTTTTCAGAATTTCTATCAGTAGAAATGTTGAGTTTTCAACATTTTGTGAAGAAGAAAAATTAAATACTGGCATTTTCTGAAAGACAGAACCCCCAAATTTCAGTTAACTCTAACTGCAGTTTTTACTCATATTTAGAAGCTGCAGAAACTGGCAGATGACTGCTTGCCAAGGGAACAAAAAGGCCAACGAGAAGTCATATTAAAAACCTTGCAGCATTACTGAAACCAATATCGCACTTTTAAATATTTGTCTCAAGATAGGACAGATCAGTCTCTTGTTATCAATATCTCAAACATATGCATATTTTAATGCACATATTCTATCTGACAATGTACAGATTCATTGACCTTGCCTGTAAAACACTGACTTAAGTGAAAACTTTCACCAATTCAAACTTTCTCCCCTACCCTGGACACATAGCAGTAGGTTAAGGTATTTCCACTAAATAATGTAAGATACATGCTTCTGCTTATGGCTCAGTATGCTGTCTGCAGAACAAGGTCATCAATATATATATGAACATATCTCATATGAAAGCAAATATTGCTAAAACTGAAAGTTTTTAGAAATGCCTTGCATTCAGTTTTGTGGTAACCTCATTAAATGACAGTTCTTTTTTAGGTCAATGTTCTGTACTGTCTGAACTGAGTGTTATTACATTCGACGGAAACAACATAGCTCTCTGTAATATGGCTTCCTACATTTTAGTCAAGTTACCAGGAGAAATTATCGTTGCTCATATTGAAAAATGTCCTGCTAATCAGGTAAGATTCTTGCATTTCCACAATAATTGTAATAGTTTCTTGAATTTTTGTGTTATAGGCATGAAATTCTGCAAAAATGTATCACTTAAAACTTTCAGATAAAAGCCATACCCATTGAAAAATGGCAAGTTATTTAATTTTCAAGGAGCATGCTTCATCATGCTGTCTAGATAAAATAATTTTATCTCAGGTTAAATAGTAATTGTTGTATTATGTTATATGCAAATTCAAATGTAGGTTCCTTTTAAATTATCAGGGGTGACATAACTTCTGAATAACTTCAGGCTCTCCACCCACAAATCTCCTTGAGGCCCTGAATTTATACTTTACGATATGGTCAAAATACTAAAATATTTTGAATAGTCACAAAAATCTTTTGTAGTTATTTTAGGAAGGTATTAATGGGTTTGGGATTAGTGTGATGAATTGATCTGTGTAGTTGTCTATCTCTGTATTGCCTACAGAGGGGATCCAGCCACTTCATTTTTAGACTGCCAGTTTAGGTCACGTTGGTCTCATCCTTAGAGTCTCTACATACCTTTCCTTTGCATTGTCCATAGTCCTAATTTATGCAACCCTTGAACAATTGGTTTGTATTTCCATCTTTGGTTTGTGGATAAACAAGTTCCTGATGAGGAACTTCATCAAGCTTCCTTCCTTCCCATCCCTGTTTGGTCTCTTATCTACTCTCACTCGGCAACTGTACACTTGATTTTTAAGTCCCAAGTCTTATGCTCTTTTAGAGGTTTTCTTTTAAATTGCTCGCTTCACTGTTTCTTGGTTGCAGTCTAAAGGTGTGAACACAGCTCACATAGGCAGATGAGCTTTAGAAGTCTGTAGCTGTAGTTCTTTAAGAAATATTTTTTGAAAGGGCTTTGCAGCATATGCTGAATCATAGAATCATAGAATCATAGAATCATTAAGGTTGGAAGAGACCTCCAAGATCATCGAGTCCAACCGTCAACCCAACACCACCATGCCTACTAAACCATGTCCCTAAGCGCCTCATCTACCCGTCTTTTAAATACTTCCAGGGATGGTGACTCA